ACATCTTTCCATACTGAAAGCTGGAGCAAGCCAATAGCAAGGATGAGGCTCTTCCACTCATGCCAAGGGTTACACTTTGGGCTAGCATCAGAAAACGGAGGCCAACTTCACCTCGAGACAACTCTCTCTCCACTCCCCTAACACCACCTTCACCCCCTGCAGCCCATCACAACGCCCAACGGGGGCTGAGAACGGAACCCCTGCACTGCAAGAGGGGCAGTGCCAGGGGACTGGCAGTCACCACCCTCTTCACGACAGATAGGGCATCTGGTTATTTGGTCAATTAACACTGGCAGTGCTGGGGAGGGGGGACGGTGGTGATGGCATAAGAATTATATAAAATAAAGAGGGGGAGGGGGTTAAAAAAAAAAAAAAGAGCGAGCGTGAGCAGGCTAGGTCCTGGCTACAGGGTGGGATGGTTACATCTCATTGGCCACCAGCTCCTTGTCGGTCACGCCGTTGGAGAGCGCGCTCTGGCCCTCATTCAGCCTCTTGACTCTGTAGGCCTCGAAGTGGATGTTGCTGGTAATGTCCTTGATGTTCTGCATGTGTGTCCTGAGGGAAGCAGAGAACCCTGGTAAATTATGCCTTAGAGCAGGGGTCAGCAATATTTTTGGGCAGAGTGCCGAAAACAACCACTACTTCAACTTGCAAGATGTTGGTGTGCCGGGGTGGATGATGGGGAAATACACCAAGGGCCCAATCCTTGCTGTTGCCATGTAGCCCCGGCCCCTTTCCTGCCATCCCCCCAGAGGCACGTGTGCCAAGCAAAATGCCTTTGAGGGCCACACTCTGGCACCCGTGCCGGGGGTTGCCTACCCCTGCCTTAGAGTGCTGCAAATGGGGGTAATAGCACCTCTTTTGCTCCAGTTGAGGATCACAGCTGGAACTCAACTCACTAACTCACTGAGAGGAGGGCAGAGAGGTGCGTCTGGGGGACAGGCTCTGCAACACAGGAAACACGGGGACAAACCCATCTTTGTGGTGCCTCTACTGGTGGCCTGTGGGTTTGCCTGTGACAACAGAGCTTCCATCCCATTTACTGTCTTTGCTGCTAGTCAGTGTATGCAAGGGACCCTCCAATTCAAGAAGTGACTGGTGCCTCAGCAGCTGCTGGTCTGGTGCTCCGTGAGGAGTACCAGCTGAGCAGATCAAGAGGTTCATGCTCATCCAAGCACATGCTGGGCTCTGCCCTTCCCTTGGATGCCACCTGCTGGCAAAATATTATTTGAGCATTGGAGCTGGTTTCTCACCCAAGCGTATTTATACCGACCTGATCAGGAGATCCCGCAGGTAAGCAAACTCACAGTGTGTCGTATTCTCCACTGAAAGGGAGGAGAGAAGGCAAGCCATTAGGACATAGCCCAGCACAGCCATGTTTCCTAAGCAACGTGGCAATTTCAGGACAAGAAGGACCCTTGTCTTCCCCGTCAGGGCTCCTGCTAGGTTATTCAAGCCCACTGTGCTCTGAGCTGGGGGCTCTGATAGAGACTAAAAAGGACACTGGGCCAAGGGATCTTACGGATCCCATCACGGAGGGGAAAATGCTTGTCTTTTGCCAGCCACAAAAGAGCTTTTATCCATGTTCCCTTTGTTTCCTCATAGCTTCTCCTACAGTAGCAAGTTGGTGCCTCTTCCCAGCCCAGCCATCCACAAGGGACTTTATGGAGAAGGGACTTCAGGGAGATGATGCACTATATGTCTGCAGCAGCAGGTAGGAGTTGGAACAAAGCAAAGGATCATCTAGTGGCTAAGGTACTGGCCTGTGATAAGGTAGTCCTGGATTCACCTCTGGCTTTGCCAAAGACATTGTGAGAGACAGGGAGCATGTTTCAAAGTACCTTAGAGATCCTTTCCCTGCCTCGTGCTATGGACAGAGGAGACTGAGACAGCTGTTTTACAGGTATTTAGAGTGGGGAGAGAAAGCCTTTAAAAATCTATCAACTAATGGATCAACTTATCACCTGGGTCTCAGTGCATTGTGCGTTTGAACTGAATTGTTTATCTTTTTGACAAGAACATCTCCTTGAAGGGGGAGGAAAGTGTCTTCCCTTTTGCTTTCTACAGGAATGAACACAATGCTCACATAGCAGGCAGATAAATGACACTATGTCTGCAAAATAACCAGTGATAAATGGTGAGTCCTTGAGCCTCCCTATGTTGAAGGCAGATACCATGCATTTTAGACATGACTGGCATTTCTTCTGCATCTACCACCATCAAGCCTGTGATTTCCAAAGAGAAGACCACTGGGGGGCAGCACAGGGTTTAAAATAAATCAGGTTTTCCTGGCATTTGTGTTAAGCACTTACTCAGAATAGTTTTTTTTTTATTTATATATATAAACTGTAAATGAGGGGGGAAATTCTTTGAAATGTGTGTGGAGGTGAACAGTGAAGCAGTAAAGTCACATGGGCTGTTTTCCTGGGTACTTAGTGGTCAGAATATGTGCTTCAGCATTGGGTAGGCTTCCCAGCAAGGGGGCTGAAGGAGAATGGAGGGCACCTGAGAGGCTGGAGTATTTTAAGGCCTTGTGTGCAGTGAAGGGGTGGGGCGGGGCTCCTATCTCTATTTAAGAAGCACTGTGGAGGCCGCAGCTGAGATCAGGCTCTATCAGGCTAGATAAAGTAGATAGAAAGCAAGGGACTGCTGACCCTAGGGGGCTAGTCCAAACAGAGAAGGGAGGAAGGGTGGGAGTTCAACAGAGGCTCTCAACATAAAGTGATTCACTGAAGGCTGTTCAGCAGGTCACAGGGAGATTTCACCCACACCAGGTGTGGCAGGTGTGGCACTCTCAGCAGTAGACCTTGCTACCCCCTTCTGACCACTTCTCCATAGCCAATGCTTCCCCTGGGATTAAGAGAATGCACATGTGGATGGGACCCTTGCCATGGCCCCTACCCCACTAGCACACCCCCTTCCTACCCATGGTCAAGGTCAAGTTTAGCAAAGGAAAGGTCACGCACAGTGCACTTGGTGTGTTTCCTCCCTGTTCTTCCAGCACATGGGACAATGAAGGTGAGGAGGCAAATGCAGCCTCATGTTTCTCTCTTAATGTACTCTCAATGGGTTCTGTGTCCTTTCAGCTCTACCAAGCCTAGCTCCTGACATGGAGCTGCTAGTCCTCAGTACAAGGCACATCAGGAACCATAGAGCTCCCCCTCTCCTCCCAAATGACCCCAACCAAGTGTCAGCTCCCCTAGCCCACATGGCCACCACAAGCACTTGGAAATGAGCACCAGAAGGACTTGTCATTTCATGGGATCAGTAATTAAAGCATGGTTTGAAACTCAAAGGTGCCCATTTCCCATGCAGCCTACTGGGGATTCAGGTAGCTGGGGCTTGGCTGCTCTGCCTTGCTTCATCTTTGGAGGCTACAGAGGGTGATGGGGAGAACAGTGGCTGATGGGAGGGGCTGCCTGAGGGATCTCAGGGACTGAGCAGAAACAGAATGGGTGGCAGTAGTCTGAGCTCATCTGCATGGCCCCATCACTGATCTGAAGTGGTTTCTTGCCTCGTGTGTCTGATTCTCACTGATGGGAGTCCTTTCACATAGGTCTGGTACCAGCCACCAGACAACAGGGAAGCCTGGGCCTGGACAACTCCCTCTAGCTCTCCAACACCAGGAGGCAAGTTGGGCATGTGAGAACAGTGCCAGCTCTGGTCAGTAGAGCGCAGCAGTGTACACTCCAGCCCATATCCACTTTTTATACGTGGGTTTCTATTGACATCCTCTGGTCCTTTGCCTGAAATCCCAGGCAAAGACAGACGTGGGGGTGCAGAGAGAAACAGCAGCCCCTACCTTCAATGGTGCCCCATTTTGTTTTTCTTCCCAGGATTCTTCTTCCATTAACCTGGTATTCCTGGTCACTGCCCACCACCGCAAATGGAATCATTTCCTGCAGAGACAGAAGTGGCACTCACTGAACAGCTCCATCCTGGGAGCCAGCAAGTCGACCAAACTGAGCAAAGTCTGTGACCATTATCACTTAGACAAGCAGCAAAGGCTCTGAGGGGGTGGCTGTCAAACAGTTAATAGTTCAGTCTTCTGCCTGGCCCATGGGTGCCTCCCTCCTAGGACATGCACAAGGGGAGGCTGTTTTTACCACAGATTCCTACAAAAGGGTCTCCTGGTTATCTTGGTGCTTCCTCTGCACTTGAGCAATGTGGGCAATGCATCCTCACACTGGACAAGGGACGTTATAAACCCAGCACCACTGCAGCCTGCTGGGCCAAGCCAGGAGTCACAGCAAGTCTCCCAAGTGGGGAGCAGCAATTAGTCATAGCTACATTTAACACAGCAGAAGTGAAGGATAGCAAACAGGAACCTGGGGCCTTGTAAAAGCCAGGCAAGGGGCACAGGGCATCAGAAATGCAGGACAGGTTCTGACACGGCACTGCTGGCACACACCATCCCATGGGGCCCTCCTGTTCCAGGGGTGGGCATGGACACAGATCTGCTAATGTGCCTCAGTCCTGGCTGCTCCATTCCAGTAATGCTCTCTCTACTGTCATGGACCTCAGTTGGCCATGAAAATGGAGGTGCCCAAGGAGAAATGCTCTTCTGACAACAGATTCCCCAGCCTCCCTGACAGCTGTCCCCAGCAACTAGACAAACACTATCACCTGAAGAGCTTGTGGAAAGAGGAGCAGCAGCATGAAGGGCTTCCTTCACCCATTTATTAAAGGTTTTTGAAAGATTAAAACACAGGTGGAAGCTGCAGTCACACCTTAAAAGGCAACACAGTCTGGAACCAGAGTTAGGCTCTTCACAGCCAGACCGACTCTTAATAAGGCAGCTGGAGGCACATAACAGCCTCAGCCCCACAAGGGTCTGGTCTCTTGATCTGGGGTCGGGGATCCAGAACCAGAGGGAATGCTACTCTCTTCTACCTCTTCTCCCAGTGGGAAGGTACAGAAAAACCTCAGCAGCCTACTGCCACAAGGGAAGGGCTCAGCATCCTGCCCGTAAAACTCATGAGAATGAGGCAGTGGCATGAAAAAGCAGGGAAACAAGAACATCAGGGCATTTTGGGGAGTGTCCCAATATTCCTATGGCTTTGGAGGTGTAGGTCCCAATCCCAGAGCATTTTGGCCCAAAGCACAGCTGGGGAAAGCACCAACCACTTACTCTGAACTTCTCATTCACTAGCCGGTCCTCAGGGTCTTCATCAAACTCCTTCTGAGGATACACGTCGATGCCATTGGCAAGAAGGTCGGCTGTGATCTGAGAGAGGCAGAGAGAAAAAAAAATCAGATTTCATACCAGAGAGGAACAGCAAAGGAAGCAGTCTCGGAGGCACTGTGGCTATGATTCTCAACCTACCCAGCAAACACTTCCAGGCAGCACCCTGGGTTGTTCTAGGACCCTAGGAAAGCCCCTAGCCTCAGCCAGGTTGGAGGAAGCCAGACAAGGTTGCCTTACCCCTCCCTGTCTCCCTCCATAACCCTAGGTAATGGGCATGTTTCAGTGCTAAACCCCACCCAACATATGCCCAACGTGCAAGCAGCAAAGTTCTGAAAGACCCTCACTCTAAGAGAGCGTCTGCTTTGGAGCTGAGCAGAACGACAGATTATGAGCACAAGCCCAGCAAGCCCCAAGGGCTAAGTCTGGCTGCCTTAGAGTGAGTTTGCAAGTCACTTTCCAGAATGTGTTTGCTCCTTGGAACAGAAACCAGCAGCCACATGGGGACAAGCACATCCAAGGCTTGATGAGCTGCTAATGCACATATTTGTGTTTTCTATTCAAACCCATTATTATCTCTTTCAAATGTAGGGGTTGCGCCTGGCAACAAAGCCATGTGCAGGAAATTCTGTCTCATGACACAACATGCCTCAATCCAGCTGCACACAGTGGGGAGACAACAAGGCCACCCCATGGTCTCAGCTACTGCCTTCCTGATAGGAATCCAAGGACCTCCAAAGCTAGTTCAGACTGCAGAGACTTGGCAGCCATGCTTAGTGGTTGGGGAAGGAACTACAGCTTGGGCACAGAAGGAGGAACACCATGCATTGATTAACAGAGTTTGTTACCATGGCTCAGGGAAAGCTAATGCCATAAGCAAATAGGCTAACAGCCCTGAGAAGTCCTGGCCAGACAAAGGTGACACCCAAACCAAAAAGGGCTTAAAAGTTGGAATGTAGCATTGGAAAGGCTGCAGCGGATGAAAACTTTTCAAGGAAACCTTGCTTCAAAACCTGATGTCCTGGGTACCACCAAAGGCTGGGGAAGCTGTGCATCCTCCCCTTCCAGACACCTGACTGGCCTCCCTCTGCCCCCACTTCAGGTTCATGTCCTTGAAGCAAAGGTGATGCATACTGGCAGGAGTGGACAGCGGAGTGTGGGTCCTTGCTGCAGTGCATCACTCCCTCCCCAACAAGGCAAATAGCAGGGCACCCTGTTCTGACAGGGCTCCTTCCCTCTGGGACGGCTTTCAAGAGCATGGGTATGAGCACAAATGTAAAGCAAGAATCAACTTTTTTCATCTATCTGCTACCTGGGTCAAATATGGGTCAACAGAGATCTTTGCCACCCAACTAAAGGCAGATTCCAACCGCACATCTGAAATAACTAAAGGGACGATTCCACCCCATGCCTGCTGATTGAAGTGGTTCCTGCTTCCCTGATAAATGTGAGTTGAGTTCATTAACTGCAGAACCAGCTCAGCGGTGCAAGAGCCAGCTGGATTCTGCTGTGCTTGACGCATCATCAGCATTGTCAGCTCAGTTCCGACAGCACGGTCTTTTATTACCAGGGACGACAGCAGAGGCACAGAGAGGCCAGATGGATCGTTAGATTCCAGACTAAATGTGCAGCTCCAGCAGTCAGACAGGCAAAGAGAGGCGCCCTCGCCTCGTGACTTCTAAACGGAGCAAATGATCTGGGAGAAGTCATCAGGAAACACTACACTGTGTCACCCCTGACTGCCACTGTTATAACCCTCTCCAGCTGCACTAGCTCGTCCCATGTCTCCCAAGAGCACAGGCAGTCTGATCAACTGATTAACCCCAAGTTCTGGCTGCACTTCCAGGTCTCTGCTCAGCCTGTTGCAGACATGGGACCAGCTGTGAAATTTGGATCTGACCCCCAAGTAAAGTCTGAGACTGCAATTCACAACCCCCCTGTCCCCCACGCCCCCCCAACACAGGCAGCTGGGGGGCTGGTGACTTTCACCAACAGGGCAGCTCACCTCCATCTGTTGCGCTGTCAGAGTAAGGTCCCAGCATGGGCAGGTTCTCTGGTTCTCCAGCACCCTCCTCCCCATAATTTACTGTGCAAAAATTGGATTCCTCCCCAGAGTGACTGGCTCCCATGCCCAAGGTAAGGATGGGAACAAACTGGGAACAGCTTTGCATCTGAGGCTGGGGCAGATCTGAGTAGAGGGGTTAGCAGTGCAGGACCCTCCCACTGCATATTTACTCTCTCCTGTCATACATAAGTAGTGGAGCCTGGCTTGCTCTTAAGCAGTGTCACTGCAAGCTACTTGCTACCAAGTGCAAAGCTCCACTCCAATAGGACCTTTATGGGTTAATATTAATATTGGGCTTGTGGACAGTAGCCTTCTGGAGCCTTTTCCCAGTCATTTACCACCCCCAGCACAACCCCAATTCATTTCCCTTCTGCTTGGGGCTCACAGCATTCCATGTGGATATTTATGGAAAGCTGGCTGAACTATTGGCTTTGGCAAAACCTGGGCTATTCATGCTCAAAAATGCAATTCAGGCTCAAGAAGCAATAAGCCAAGAGGTGATCGGTGGCTTGCTTATTTTTGCAGCAAATGCTGAGTCCATCATGCCTGTAGCCACATCATCAGTTACTTGAGTGGGCTTCTTGCCTTTTATCAAAAGCCAAAGCAAGTGCCCCCGCCCTCCTCAGCACCAGGCATGCATGCTGCACAAGGAAACCACAGGCCTCACTGGAGACTGAAACAGTTCCTTTCAGCTTCCCCACAACCAACTTCCAACCATTGCGAGCAGGGGAATTTCATGTTTTGCTTCCCCTGTAAATCTCTCCCAGCTGAACTCAGCAGACACCCGTGCATTTTTATCTGGTTACTGTATCACTGCATGATGCTGCACAGTGATGCTGGCTCCCTGAAAAGGCATTTCAGGGCTCTGCATACCACAGCACCAGCCTCCCAACGTAAGAGTGACTTGGAGGGGGGAAAAAAAAAGACAGAAGAGGAACAAGCCTCAAGACCAAGGGCTTGAAATTTATTCTGAGCTGACAGAGATCCAAGAGAAACACAAGGAACTGTTTGGAGGCAAAGGCCCTTCCTTCTGCCACATGGGATCACTCAGGGCCGCAGCCCAAGGAATGCTCTGGGCTCCCAGCCAGCAGCTTGGCTGTACAGACCTGGTGGGGAGGGGGGAGAAGGGGCAAGGGAAGCAGTGCAGAGTGGAGAGTGGCTGCCACCCCCTTACCCTTTGCTTGAAGTACTCTCTCTCCTCCAGCGTTAACGTGTCGGCCTTGGCGATGACTGGGACAATGTTGACCACTTTGCTCAGGCGTTTCATGAATTCAATGTCTAGTGGTCGGAGTCTACAAATGCAGCAGGAGAGAAAGGGAATCAGATTTCAGCAATTAGGATCCAGAGGCTGTTTGGAGAGAGAGCGATTACCCAATAGAGAGAGGACATTCGAAGGAGAGAAAGGGATGGGGAGGAACTGTGCATCACAGAAGAAGAAACAGTTACTTTGAAGCATGGGAGTGCATCTCTCTGTCACACACACACACGCGCACACATTTTGCAGGGAAACGCTTATAACACTTTCCTTTCTACTTTCAAAGTGCCAGGCTGTCTGTTATGTTTCTGCTTTCAAAGTGCCAGCCTATTGGTTAGGAGCCCTTGCAGTACCCCTGTGAAGCTGGCAGGGGGGCTTTTATCTTGTCAGGGATTTTAAGCCAAAGAGGATTTTAAGGAATATGCTGCAGGCTGCACAAGTCCTTGGCAGAACTAGGATCAGCACTCGGGCATGCCTGACTGGGCTCCATCTGCTAGGCTGAGCTGCTTTCCTTGTGCATTGGGCCTGGACAGCAAAGAGTGACCACTGGCCACTGGATATTTTCATATGCCCCTTTGCTTTCCCATATCACACCTGGTTTCAGAAGTGCACAATGAGACTGAGGTGGAATCCTGATTGGAAGCCAATGCATGGTGAAATTCATCCCCATGCAGACTAAAGGGCCTGTGAATCACTAGCTTTGCAGTGTCCCATCTGCACAGGTTTGAATTTCACCCCACGACACCCCCGTCAGTGCAGGTTACAGAGAGGAACTGATTCACTGCCAGAGGGAGCAGCAGATGTGGAACTGGCACTGCAGTTATCGCAGTCATAAAAATGTCACGAGGGCAAAAACCAATCAAAACACCCAAGTCCGCAAAGGGTTTTAAGCTAAATGATTTTCTTTGTTAGGAGAAACTGCCCTTCTAAAAGGCTCTGGCCAGAAGCCTCTTCAGGATCCAAGTGCTGTGAGGAGACATGACTACAGTACACATAGGTGGAGCCCTATTAGCCCAATAGCTGGACTAGGGTCAACTGCAGCAGTGAAGTCAAATGGACCATCCAAGCTCATCTGTGATCCTGGGGACATACTCAGGTTCCAGGCCTGCCCTGAAACCTAGGACACTGCATTTTCACTGGTACTGGTCCCTGGACTAAGTAGTTTGGGTATTAAAGTTATTCTGGTGTACGTGGGCTGAAATCACACTTCTAGACTGTAGGGTGAAGGTGCTCCCAAGAGCAGCTGCCTTAATACTGGACGAGCAGGGAAACAGAGCAGCTGGGGTCCCAGCTTGCCCCTTGAAGAATGAAAATGATTTGGGCGTTTTGTAGTACAGCTATTTTTGTTGGCCTAAGTGAGGCATGATCCTGGCGCCACCTCTGGCTGCCTCAACATGTGGCCAGATGTGCTGCTGGGGGAGAGCAAGCCACTGCCCTGGGGCCAGCAGGACCTAGTTGGCTTGGGGAATGGAGGGTCAGGAGCACACACAGTTAGTCACTATAAGGAAGAGAGCATCGCGCCATGTCGAGATGCTGGCAGCACAGGGACAACAACATTTAATGCTCTGGTGCTGGAGGAAGAGTCCAAAGGAACCCAATTGCTTGAAGCCAGATCAGGCCCAGGTGGTGTTGCCAATGCAGTATTCGAGACGCAACCAATAGGCCTGTGCTGGAGCCAAAGGGAACAACACTGGCATGTTCTCTAACCAGTCACAGTAATCAGCCCTCAGCCTCCACCTGCCAGGTAGGTCAGCAAGTTGCTGATCCTCACTTGATAGCTGGGGAAAGAAAGATGGGCACAAGGACGTCAAATATACATTTGTGCCAAAGCTGGAGCCACAAACCAGGCCTCCTCTGTGAGCCTAAACTATGATCAGAAAGGGAGCCCAAATTGCTAGGAGGGTGACCTCAAAATGGCTATGTACCCAGATGGATCCAGGAATCCAAAAGGCCAGTCCTGGAATTCTGCCAAGAGGCACTTGGACAAGCAGACAGAGCATGGACTGTAGGACAAGGAGAAGAGGACATAGCCAGGAGACTGAGGCTCTGCACTGCTGCCTGCAGCCAGCACCTCTAAGTCAGAGAAATCAAGGGTCTTAGAGAGTTCAGGGGAGCCTACAGGACTGGGTCCATACTGAAGACCTGATCTGTCAGTCATTTGATGGGCTTACCATGATCCTCAGCAGCTACTAACCAACAGTGCAGCTCTCCCCACCTGCAATCTGCCTGGACTCATGGGTGGAGCTGAGGACCATTTCCTAGGAGATGGCAGCAAGATGTACTGGTAGGGTAGGCTTGGTGAACTTGACATAAGAGCCTCCCCTCCTCCCTCACTGTAATGCACATCCTCTGGGCACAGTGGCCCTGGCTTACAACTGAGCAAACTTATCAGAATTGCAGGCTTGGACAGGGCTGACATCTGACTGAGACAGAGAAGTCAATTTATTCAGACGCAGAGCTGGGCTCACTGCCCCCTGCCTTTCCTCCAGAACCTCTCTTTGTTAGTGAGCAGGGGGCATGGGGCAAACAGAACATAAAGCCTAGAGACTGCATCTTTAGTGTGAGGGCAAACAAGATCCTAACAACAATGCAGAAGTCGCAGACTGCTCTGAGCTCCAAAAAAGTGAGAGCTCGGCTCATCTTTTACAAGAAAATCCCCACGGACGTGTGAGCAGGCTGCTGCTGGCAACCGTGGCCTGGAGCTCAGCATAATATATTTCCCAGACCTCCTAGGAAGCATCCGTCTTGTGTTCCTTTCCCAGAGCGCTCCTTCCCCCCCTTTCTCTTTGCAATTTTTCAAATAGGTTTTTTTTTCCTCTTTAAAAAGCTCTTCCCCACTGAGAGCATGCTCCTGCATCTTTCATCAGGCTGTTTTAGGCTGACGGCAGGGATGAGTCTACAGCCAGTGCAGATGGACTGACAATCAGCCATGCCTCTGGATTCCAATTCTAGGGGAGGACAGGAACCCTATTTCCCAGCCTGCCTTCCTCCGCTGACAACTGGGGGGTGCTGGGGCTCCCTTTGTTAGTCTGACAACATAGCACAAGCCACCTCTCCATCTGTATCCAGGTATGCAGACAGCTGGCTTCAGAGGTTTGTATCTCCTGGCACCTGACCAGGGCTCATCCTGGGGCAGTTTGGTGATGGGGCCGGAAGAGCACGGTGCTTTTCTTGCTTTTCTTCTTGGTGCTGCATTATTTCTAATGGCATTCTGGGGAGTCTCCTCAGTGCAAGGTACAAGGTCACACATGTTACGATTCATACATTCAGTACTGGGGTGAAAAGCAGACAAGTCACAGCTGACCAGGCACGTGCATCACAGCAAGAGAAGAATCACGATCCCAACCCCACCACCTCCCTGATCCAGTAGATGGCGCTCTTCTCCGTTGATCAGCTCAAGCGTGGCAGTAGGGGGGGTACAGTCCTGCAGTCTTCCAGACTAGACAGAAGGAAGGGATGGTGATTATTTCTGATCTCAAGGTCTTCACATAGTAGGGCACCTAACACTCCTTTCAGCCTGCAGCTGTCTCGTTCCCCCAGCATGCTTTAGCTTTATAAAGGATAAAGGAGCATCTCTCAATAGACGTATGGAGGCAGGCTGATTTTACATTAGGGTTTAAGAGTGAAAATATGGCAAAACTGTTCCCAGCACCAAGAGCTGCAGAGAAGCTGGCTCTCACATCCAAGGGAGCAAGCTGGTGAGCAAGGATCAAAGGGCGAGATCTGGCAGAGGTACAGGTCCAAGGAGGTAGGCTTCATCAGGGGCTGGAGGAAGCTGGCAAGAAGTTATCACTGTTTGCACTTCCCCCATCCCTGAGGACACTCTTAAAACCAGGCTACTCGTCTTCAGTTGCTGCCCAGCCCAGCTGCAGTATTGCAGCAGTGGATTCTCTAGAGGTGGAAGCAAATCAGTGGTGGGTGAAAAGGACCTTAGAACATGCTTCTCACTCAGATGAAAAGCTTTACCAAGCACATCTCCCTCCTTGCAGGCTGCCTACAGCAGGGCTGCACCATTTCACCCCAGCCGTGTGTGGCCCTCGAGGGCTCTTCAGAATCTCCTTGCTGCAGCTGCTCCCAGGAGCTGGGGTGGTTCATCCAGGAGGAGGCAGGCGCAGGCCTCAGGGACACAAGCTCTCTCCCAGACTTGTAACTGGAGACGCATCTGCCAACTGAAGGGGAGAGGGATGCTAGCTGACAAGCAGCAAAACTCCCTCCCAAAGCAAAGCGCCAGAGGAGCCCAAACAGAGCAAGCTGTGCGTGGTGCCGGGCCAGGGCTTTCCCACAGAGTCTCTGAGACAGAACTTCCCGCCGTCCTGCTGAGTGCTTTCCTCTGGCTTCTGTAGAAAGCTGAGCTCCATGGACTTTCCCAAACAGTTGTACTTCCTATGGCACAGTAAGACGCACCCCTCTTCTGAGGCTGAACACCCACATTGGGCTTGGGAAAGCCAGGCTGGAGGGACTGCAGCTGGAGATTTAGAATATAAAACGACTTCTTCCTTCCCTTCCAGTTTCCTGCTACTTGCATAGTAGATTGGGTAAGACTGAGCCAACAGGCAGAAAAGTCTAGCTTGATTTTTAAGTACCAAACTTCAAAGCAGAACACACACATTGCCTGAGTGCACCCATGAAGCCTTGAAGGCTCAAAGCTGACTTACACCATAGTCCTTTAGTAGACGTCCCGTGCACTACGGCTATGGTTCTTCAATAGCAGTGAGGGGGAAGGATGGCTAAACCTAATCACCAGTCCAGCTACATCCCTTACTGAAGTGCAATAGAGTACAGCTGGGAGCTTGTGGCTCAGGGTCTGCGCAGGGTTCACCCTCCTCACCTCTGATCACTGTGCACAGAAACAGCTGCTCTATGTAAGTCCATAGGGCACCTGAGCTCCAAGGACAGAAACCCTGGTCCTCACTGTGAAGTGTTGATCCTGGGACCAATGCACAGTAGCTACGGCACATTTAGTTTAGTACTTGCTTAATGAAGTACTAACCAAATGCGCAGTCACTACAGAACTATAGTTACTGAGCAGTAGCACCGGCACATGGTATTTTTGTGAAGCTTACTGCACAGTATCCTAATAACACTGTGCAGTAGTGTATTAGCATGGTTTTTGACTGGCACGCTGCAGTACAGTAAGCATCTTGTGTAGACGCATCCAAGGAGGAGCATTTTAGCTGACATTACCCATCACCCCCCTAAGGAAGGCATGCAAGAAAATAGTTTGTGTACAACCTACTGGAAGGGAGTCCTCATTCCACCTTCATAAATGGGCATGACCTGATAGGTGGGGAGTGTTCAGGACAGAGAAGCAGTTATTCCCTTGTTTGGCTCCTGGTAACCTGGCTCTGGCCTGTTCTGCCCAAGGCTGCCTTCTCATATGGGGTGCAGGAGGACAGGGGGGAGCTCCCTCTTACAGACATGCTCACAGGTGCCTCTCCTTCCCTTCTGGTAAGAGATCACTGTTCACCCCCAGAGGGCTTGCAGGGCACTGAGGTTACCTATAACTAGGGCCATCAGCACAGACAGGGCTTTAACACAGAATCATCCTTGCAGGCTGCAGCTGTAGGAATAAAATCCATTGTGGCTCCATGGTTATTTCCCTGCAGTGATGTCCCAGATCACACTGCAGCGAAATTTTAAAAAAGTGATTAAAAAAAACGTCTTCTGAGCTGGTGCTGAGAATCTAACAGGGCTCCAGCCCCATTGTCCGTGCGCCTGTGATGGAAGTCAGGCTGGCGGTGCTGCTGCTGAGGCAGCACGGATCCTGACTCCCTCTCTTGCAGGCATGCTGGCTCTGGGGTGTGGAATGACTAGTGGGAATGGGAACAGGCTGGTGCCAGTACGTCCAGCAGCAGTTCTGAAACATCCTGACAGGAGAACAGCTGAGGAGGAGGATGCCATATTTCAGACACATTCAGAGTCAAGTGGCGTTTTCCAGTGCTCAGGGCTGAGGAATTTTTTAGGTAGCAAGGAGACAGAGCTTTGCTCCCCTGAGCCAGGAGCCCCAGCCAGCATGTTACTGAGGCCTTGCAAACATGGGCTTGCTGGAGCATTAGGAGAATGGCGGAGTGCACATGTACCCGGTTAGCTCCCCCGCTGCTGCTCTGAGCTCTTTTCCAATGGGAGACTGAGACAAGAGCCCTGTCCTGCCCTCAAGCCATCAGCCTGGAGAAGGGCACGGCCTTGCAACCTTCTCCATCAGTGTAAAGGGACTGACAGTGTGGTGTTTGTCCCTTGAGCACCAGCTGGAAGGGAACGCACGCTTCCAGTGTGAGCAAGTTGCAGCAGTAAGATGCATGTCTGGAGAGGGAATCGGAAGATGAGTGAAATCGAGAGCCAGAGAGTAGCAGGTTATAAGGGCCTGTGCATCCCTGCAGGCTGAGCCACAGCCCAGGTCGGCCCTTCCCAGAACTCCAGTGGAGGGATGCCTGGTAGGCTAAGGAGCATCTGTTGCTGCTGTCCAGGACAGCGCTTCCTTTAGCTCCAATGGGTCCTCCTGAAGGTCCTGGAGCTGAAGCCCCACAGTTGCAGCCCTGGTTCCCACCTGTGCCATCTGCAAGAGAATGATTATCTAGCAACTGCCTCTGCAGCACACTGATTCAGTGGGGAGGCATAGAATAGCAACAATCGGCTTGCCTCACTGGCATTGACCCCATGTTGCTGCCTCACAGCTCACTGCTCTCTGCCCTGACCAGAAGCCTCTTCTAATAATTTGCCAGTATAAGCCATCTCTATTGGAGAGAGTGGCCAGGCAGGAGCCATAGGAGGTGAGACTGGGGCAGGAGATTTGGGCAGAAAAGTGCCAATGAGGCTAAGAAACATGCGACACTGAGCCTAGAGAGACCAGGAACATTATGGCTCCTCAAAAACCAGCATTTCCTGTGTACGTCTCCCTCCCACCCAGGTTCCCCTCCCCTTCCCCTCCTCCAAGCTGCAGTCTAAAGCTTCAAAAAGGCCTCCTGTTCCCCAGCTTATCTGCATCCTACACCATGAGAGGAGTCAGGAGCCAGATGTTCACCCTGACACCTGGGCAGGAAACCACAGCCCTGGGAGCAGCCACAATCTGAGCCAGCAGCAAAGGGAGTAAGCACGAACCCCCAGCTGGGGTATCGGGCTACACACAGCCAAAGGCTATTCCGAGGAAGGAGCCTGTGTGCGCAGCTTGGTAATGAAGTCCCTTGCAGTGCTGGGCCATTTCTTATATTGGAAACACATGTTTTGGGGGGAGAGAGAGAAGGAAGTGAAGAGTCAGACTCTGAAGCTATTATTGTTACCTGGAGAGCAGACGGGTGAGAGAAATCAGAATAAGCCATAAGGCTCCAGTGATTGGGGGAGGGGGGGGTGGGCAGGCAGGCTATCTGCTTGTCAGTACCTTCCCTCCACATGTGATGGCCACACACATAACAGTGTCCAGGGACTTTCGGGGGGAGTGGGGGCTGGAGCGGCTGCCTGTGGGCTGGATGGTTTGCACCATCTCAGAGGCTCCATTTACAGACCCTTCTTGTAACACAGATGGGCAGTACCAAGGGTTCAAACACCATCCTCCAGAACATGTGACAAATGGCACTTGATGCCTTGTTTGCATTCGGGGACTGGAAGGTGGATCAGGCCTCCTAAAGATGCCATCTTCCTTCACACAAAGGGAGGGCTCAAAGGTTCAGGCCTTTTCCTCTGCAACAGAGTAGGAAGAGCATGGTCAATAGGCTGAAAAATGTTTAAATGGCCTATTACTTTAATAATGGTCTGAAGACAGACAATGCCATCAGCTCCCCCTGTTCCTACTGAAGGCTACAGCACATAAAACCCCAAGTCAGCAGCCCAAATCTAACAGTCCATGACACTGGGCTCCTCACAGCCCACACATATGTATAATATCTGCACTGTAATACAAGTGCAGGGTGTTCACACTGCCAAGGACCCTGGCTCTACAAAGCCCTTGAAAAAGAGGCTTTTGGGGGTTTAGTTGAATCTGGTTTCCATGCGATACAAGCTGAACCAAAGAAGCCTCTCAGACTAGAATAAGCATCTGCAAAGGGGGGTTATACTCAATATTACTGTATCAGTGTGAATACACACCTTAGCTTATTAACTTAGAAGTCTTGCTCCTTGCTAGGGTACAGACAAATGGACCTTTCAGTTGCTTTCAAAGTGGGGGGAAGGAACTGTGGAGCACACATCAGCTGCTGCAATCCAATTTATGTCTGCAGGATCCTGTAGCAATCCAAGTAGCTAAATCACCCTACATTTGACTCTGAATGAAACAGGGTTACAGCTGGAATGTTTTTATCCCACCTGTATTACTACAGAGGTTTGGAGGTGGAACAGTTATGTCATAACACCATGTGTATCATCTGCATTGACAAACAGTTATCTCCATCTATACCCAAGTTGCATTTGCAAAGTGACATGGCCAGAAATGAGGCTATGGATGAGGTATGCTGTGACCACCTTCAAGATGAATAAGTTATCTGAAACTAACTCTGTTATGGTTACCAAATTGGCTCTATTAGTTTGTGTTGTTAGGCCAGTTCACTTTACAAAAACAGGCACCATGGTAGAGACACAAACCAGTTGCATTCTGTTCTTTTCTGGTCATCTAAGTTCCTAAATGTCACTTCATGCACAGGCTGGCAGCCTCCTGCATGCAGCCTTACATGAATGCCCAGACTGGTCATATACTCTGGCAAAAACATGAGAGAGAGGGCAAGACCTTCCACCTTCCCCCACTCCAAATAGCAGATGTGTAGGGCATTCACCTGGGAGGCTGGAGGTCCTAGGTTCTGGCCTCTGCTCTCCTAAAGGGGGTTTGAAGTTGGGTCTCTCTGATCTCCCTGCACAAATCAACCACCACATCACAGGTCAGCCACTATCCACTCCT